CCCCGCCCCCCTTACCTCACCCGGGGAGACTACGATCCCCCGCGATCCCCCCCGAAATGACCTCTGGCTGAGCCGCTTTCTCCAATATTTGCTTAAAAGGTAAAGGTAAAGTTTTCCCTTGCTCGAAAGCCAGTCGAGTCCGACTCTAGGGTTGCGGTGCTCATCTCCGTTTCAAAGCCGAAGAGCCAGCGCTGTCCGAAGACGTTTCCGTGGTCATGTGGCCGGCATGACTAAACACCAAGGCGCACGGAACGCTGTTACCTTCCCACCGAAGGGGTACCTATTTATCTACTTGCAATTTCTTGCTTTCGAACTGCTCGGTTGGCAGGAGCTGGAACTAGAGACGGGAGCTCACTCCGTCATGTGGCACACTCGGGTCTCGAACTGCTGAACTACTGACCTTCCACAGCCTGCAGTTCAGCGTCTTAACCACTTGAGCCACCCCAGCTCCTAATATTTGCTTACTCCTGTGTAATCTGGTAGACCTGTTTCAGAGGCAGCTACTGTAGCTCGGAATGCCAGGCATCTTTCAAAATGTTACGCAAAAGACAATCAAGGTTTTTTTTTTTGAGAAAGAGCCTCTGAGGTTCTTAATTAAGGGTGCATATTTCTTTGTTGTTTTTCTTTTCATAATATTTGTTATTACATATTTATGACTTTCACGGAAAGGAAAAGCCCCACCATAATAACAACAGCTGCACTGGGTTTTTCATTTCCCCATTCTGCCACCAGGGTACTCCCTTTAGGTAGGGCGTCCAATCGCCATATGGGGTTTGGAAATCTCCTGGAGTTATAACTGTTTTTCCAGATTACCAACATTGGTTCCCCTGGAGAAAACAGCTGCTTTGGAGGGTGGGCTCTATGGCATTGTACCTTGCTGAGGTCCTTCCCCTCCCCTCCCCAAACCCTGCCCTCCCTAGGCTCCACCCCCAAATCTCTAGGAACTTCTTGACCCAGAATTGGCAACTCTATGCAGATCTGGAGAATGCTTCGTATCAGGCAACCAGAGTGAGAGAGTAGGAGATTACATAAGAGAAGCCAAATGTTGGATCAGGCCAATGGCCCATCCAGTCCAACACTCTGTCACACAGCGGCCAAAAGTACCAGGTGCCATCAGGAGGTCCAGCAGTGGGCCCAGGACACTAGAAGCCCCTCCCACTGTTGCCCCCCTCCTCCCAAGCACCAAGAATACAGAGCATCACTTGCCCCAGACCGAGAGCTCCTATCTATACCTTGTGGCTAATAATAGCCACTGATGGACCTCTCTATTTTCCTTTCCGTTTTCCTTTCCGCATGCTGCACAAGGCTATCCTGTTTGTCTTCACACGGACCTGTAATATCAGTTAAGTTTTCATCTGGGCAACGGGCCTAAATAGACCCAGTGAGGTTCTTGGCAGAGTAAACATTCGAAAACAGGTCTTTCCAGCACCTGGAGAGATCACTGAAAAGCATGATGGACAGCCCTCAAAGATACACTGACAAGAAACCCAGGCTTTCCATTAATCAAATGGAGTTAAATCCTTCAGTGCTGGAGTTGGGGAGAGAGAGACAGCCTGTCCCCATCTTACCCTCAAGCTCCGTAGCCCAAAATTTTGGGTTGGTAGGGCTGCAAGATTTAAAAGGCCCTCCAGCTGACCGGCGGGCCACGTGCTCCCACCAATCAGCTGGAGGGCCTTTTTAATGTCACAGGAGGGGAGGGAGGGGAGGGGCAGCGGCTGTTGTTGGACTTGCCTCACATTTGAGGGGGCGGAGCCCTAAAATGCCCCACCGTAGCTATGGGCCTGCTTACCCTTTATCATGCTAAAGCTGCTTTTAACGTCCTCTACCTCTTTGCTTCCATTGCAATGGCAAGGTGCAGCCTTTACTCTTCCTCTATACTGCCCAGGCCTAGAACGGGGTGTGGAAGCACAATGCACTGAACTGGATTGCAGGCCTTCACAGCAGCGTGGGGAAAGATGCTATGTGGAGGCCACAGTTCAGCAGTGACACGGAGTCTACCCCCCCCAAAAAAAGAAAATGTAACTGTATGCTCCATCTGTCTGATGCTCTTGGTTCCTCCAAAGGGTGCAACACGGGCACATGCATGCCCCTCCCTCACAGAGTTTGCAAGCACACTGTATCTGAGGAAGTGTGCCTTGCACACGAAAGCTTATACCGTGAATAAAACTTTGTTGGTCTTAAAGGTGCCACTGGACTCAAACTTTGTTCTTCTCTTCTAGTGTTCTCATTAAACATGCCTCTCTGTGTGCATTTACTTGTGTGCAACGGATGCATCATTGTCACTGACAATGCACTGTTACCCTGGGCGTTAATCCAAAGGAGTTCCATTGATTCTGTAACTGCTCTGTTACTGGCTTACCATCACAAGCCAAAAAGATACAGGATCTGACACATGCGTCTATATAAACATTATGTAGGCCCTGCTGAAAATCTTTGGTATACTGATACCTAAGTTTTAAAAAGTTATCTGTATTCACAGAACATACACTTTTAAACAAGGTATTTCTCTATGTGTGGGTGGGGGTGGTATGGAGAAGCACTCACACCTGCAATCTAAAATCATACAGTGTGGTGTAGTGGTTAAGTGCGCGGACTCTAATCTGGGAGAACCGGGTTTGATTCCCCACTCCTCCACTTGCACCTGGCTGGATGACCTTGGGCAAGCCGTAGTTCTGATAAGAGCTGTTCTTGAAAAAGAGCAGTTTCTGTCAAGAGCTCTCTCAGCCCCCAACTACCTCAGTGGGTGTCTGTTGTGGGGACAGGAAGGGAGAGGAGTTTGTAAGCCGCTCTGAGACTCCTTTGGGTAGTGAAGGGTGGGGTATAAATCCAATTTATTATTATTATTATTGGAAAGTATTATTATTATTATTATTACAACAAAAGGGCCAATCACAGGGACCAGGAGAGCTATTTGCCCCAGGTATAGAAACTGAAAGGGTTGACTGAAACAGTGTTAGCAATAACCTAACACTCTACATAGTCTCACAGAGAGAGACAGTGCGGTATAACGGTTAGAGTGCTGGACTAGAATCTGGGAAACCCAGGTTCGAATCCCTGCTCTTGCCATGGAAGCTGGTTGGGTGACCTTGGGCCAGTTGTACCCCCTCAACCTGACCTACTTCCCAGGGTTGTTGTGAGGAGGAGAGGAGGGTGACCTAAGTCGCTTAGGGTCCCCACTGGGTAGAAAGTTGGGAGTATAAATAGAGCTTCTACGCTTAGCAGTATACAGACAGGTCCAATATGAGAAGTCT